ATTTGATTCTGCCAAAATTGCAGATTTGGTGGACATATATATTGTAGACACCTTGAGTAGAGTAGTTAGCCTTAACCAAGTCGGAATTTATAGAGATGACGGCCTAATCATTGTCCCAAATAGCAATGGTCCCTTGACTTCCAGCTTACATAAGATAATTAGGACCTTCAAATACCTAGGCCTTAAAAGTGAAATATCTTCCAACCTGAAAATAGCCAACTTTTTGGATATTACACACAATCTATCCACCCTAAACATGTGATAGATCACATCCCCAAAACTGTGAATCTTCTAGCCAAAAAATCTTTAATGATGATAATTTATATACAATCAGGCCCTAAAAAATAGTGGTTTTAGACAAGAATTAAACTTTAAACGGAGAACTTGTAAATCAGAATAATAACAGAACTAAAAACAGAAAGAGGAAGGTAATATGTTTTAACCCACCATATTGCAGGCTCTCTAACATTGATATAGGAAGTTTCTTCCTGAAATTAATTGATAAACACTTTCATAGTAAACATCCACTACGTAAAATTTTCAATAGGAAGACACTAAAAATTAGTTACTCATGCGTTAGAAATATGGAGAAAATCATATCTTCCCATAATTGTAGAATACTTAGAAACTATCATAGTAATGAAACTCAATATAGTAACCCTACCTGCAATTGTAGGAATAAAGACCATCGTCCAATCGGGGGTAAATGTAAGTATGAAAATGCAGTATACGAGGCAACAATCTTTCCCGGGGAAAATATAAACAAAAAAAAAAAAGATATATAGGTATATCCGCCGGTGATTGGAAGCAGCGTCTATACAACCATAAACGCTGATTTAGATATAGATACCTCAGAAATCAAACTTCCTTATGCAAACACTACTTGGGTCTGGTGGATAAGGGACTAACCCCACTTTTGAAATGGAGATACTTATCAAGAGCTAGAACATCTAATAACTTCCGCGATCGGTGTGATCTGTGCATGGCGGAAAAAAACTTTATTATCAAAGATAAGAATCAAGATTAATTGCTGAATCTTCGTAATGAGATATTTTCTAAATGTAGACATAAGAAACGATTCAAAACATAAACACAGTTTTGTAACATGCTGTCACTTAAGTCAGTTCCATCTTGGTTCAATAACATCGGGCATGACATTTTAATGGAATGATTATGTTTATTATGTTTATATCTATATATATCATTGTATATGTTTATGTGATGCGCTATGTATTTTAATTTTTTTTTTTTTGCGACAAAATTTTACTTTTTTAGAATTTACATTTTGGTTTATATGTATATATATATATATATATATATATGCGTACCTGTGTGTGTATGTGTGTATATATGTAGGTGTGTATATAGGTATATGTATGTGTATGTATGTATGTATATGTATCCGTATATATGTATATGTATATATATGTATGCGTATATGGATGTATGTATATGTAGGTAGATGTATATGTACATGTGTTTATATGTGTATGTTTTGGTATGTATGTACTCATATATATCTGTATATGGGTGTATATGTATGTATATATGTATGTATGTATAGTTAGACGGATAGATATAGGGATACATTGTTTATTTGTTTAGATGGGTGTATGTAATTGTATGGAGATGTAAGGTTTTATGTATATATGTTTATGTGCACGTATGTGTATGTCCGTATGTATATATATATGTGTAAATGTGTATATATATGTAGGAGTGGATGTGTATGGATATATGTGTATATGTATGTGTGTGTATTTATGTATGTATATGTATACATGTATGTGTATGTGTGTGAATGTATGTCTATGTATGTATATGAGAATAGATAGATAGATAGATAGATAGATAGATAGATAGATATATGTGTATGTGTGTACATGGGTATATATATATATATATATGTGTGTATGTCGGTACACGTCTATATGTATGTATGTACGTCTATATGTTATTGTGTATGTGTGTATACGCATGTGTTTTTGAACATAAAGATATAGGTCATTGCTAGATTAGATAATCATTATATTTATTTTTTATATGTTTATATTTGATTTGTAACCTGTAGTCGATATTAATTTTGTCAATTTTTCTTAATTACACAGCGGCCCTTTCAGTAAATGCCCTTCAGTTTTACTTTCCCCTGCCCCATATCTCTCCCCCACCCCTTTTTCTTTTCTTTTCCTCTCCCTCCCTCTTCTTCTAATCTTTAAGATTAGATCGTCTATATTGTGTGTGTATGTCACCACAAAATGTATCCTTTCCGGTTACATCTTTAATGTATTAGACATCCGACAACATTCATATTTCTCTCACCTAAACCGTCTTTGACTCCCCTCTCTAAAACTTCTCTCTGTTAAATTTTAATCCTCCACCTTCTCTCGTCTGTTACCCCTCTCTATAGCTCTAACATTCGTCCCACACTCTCATACTTACACTCTCTCTAAATTTTATTTTTTTATTTCCGGAGTTGTTTTTTCTGATTTCCTTTTGAATTTGTAGGTCTGATGAATTGGATCGTATTTACGATTCCAATGGAATAAATTATGACCATGGATTATTAGTGTTTAAGCGTTTTTATTATATCCTTACTCTGTCCTGGACATTGAGTTCTACCTGAATTCTATCCTCTTGGAATTTTTTTATTCAAAAAATATATATGTATGTGTTGCATCTATGTATATATATTTATATATTTTGCATATGTATGTGTATATTTACCACTAATATTATCTATAAATATATATATATATACTAAAATCCATATATATATATATATATATATATATATATATATATATATATATATATGGATTTTAGTAGGTTGTAGAAGAATGTCCGAAAAAACATAGATAATGAGTCAAAGTGGGAAAACCTTTTAGAGACAGCGCCTTTCGCTTCCATCTGGTAGGCGGTTTCACTATATATAATATATATATATATATATATATATATGAAATGGAACTAATGTCTTTAATTTAATTACAAAATTATATTCGAAGCTTTTAGCTTCCATTTTTGAAACATGGTTAGAACTGTGTAGAGAAAACCATATTTTAAATCAGTTAATTTATAATATTAATGCTCTGTAAATTTACATTGAGCACTATTTTGTAAAAATAAATATCTATTAGAACACCGGATTATATATGTTACTGTTCTTTTTTATTATATATATATATATATATATATATATATATATATATATATATATATATATATATATATATATATATATTTACAAAGCCAAATTCGAAGTAAGATTTTGTTACACCAACCTTTTTATTGGGGATTGCCTAGTTACTCAAAAGAAATTGCATTCGAATTCTAAATTTTTCCTGGAATCGAACCCCTGGCATCAATGCGGAATATGTAACTACTTCAGCCACAAGGTAAGCTATGAAATATGTATTAAACTTGGTATGGCACATAGATGCAAGTGTGGGGTACTAAATGAAGTTTGAACTCACTTCAGAAATGGTAACTTCTGAGACATTCTGGTTAACTTTTGCTTCACTGTCTATAAATCTAGCTAGAAATATCGCCTCAAATTGATACTGGTATTTAATTAGCTTAGATTCATTTGACACAAGGCTATATATGTGAGTCACCCAGTGAGGATCAATCAGTACAGCAACATTGCCCTCACAGATTATCTTGATGACCACAGCTACACAGGAAAACTGTCAGACTTCATGGAAATAAAACTTGATCGCTACTCATCATGCAAGTAATAAATATAATGAAGTATTTTCTAAAATTTACATTTTCTTATTCATTTAAATCGATTTATTTTTTTGTTTAGGTTCCATGGGTGGATCTTTAATACAAACAACAAAATACAAACATGCAACACACACGGATGTAGCTTAACACAAGATTAAATATATACATCGGTTTTGAGATAAGCAAATCTTTGACTGGATGATAAATTTCCAAACTATACAACGCAAAAAGCTTAAGAGAATAGCGTGACAAAACTGTACAATGTTTAAAGGATTTGTTTTATTTTATCTTTTTATTGTTCTTTTCTAACTGTACGTCTGAATAGCAAATGATGGTCTAAGGAAACAAAGAAAGAATGCTCGCTGCTGATTAAGAATATTAGAAATGCACATAAAGGCATTGAATAACATCAACTGACATGTTGAATATGCCTCATGCAGTTTCGCCAGAGGACAGCGGATGTGAAAAAAGCCACGTGACTTTATGGATTCTTGCAATCAGCTTGACATATTAATGGTAGGTGAATGTGACATCCATGGTGAGATTCGATATGGCGGGGAGGGGTAATGTATGAAAAGGCCTCGAGGCGTCTATATGCCGTTGAAGAAATTGGAACAATGTCATGAAGTTGATAAACGACTGAAAAGCAGGGAGAATCTTCCAATTCTTCTGGCGTTCTTTCGGTGATCATCTGCGAAAACAAGTCCTCAACTCGATAAGTAGAGTTGCTTCTCGCTAATATATTTCACTGTCGATTTTCATCGGCTGGGAGAGGTGAAAAATAGACTAAATGTAGATAGATAGATAGATAGATATGAAAAGATTCAGATAGATAGATAGATAGATAGATAGATAGATAGATAGATAGATAGATATAAACCGACTGATATAGATGTTAACAGACTTGAGATAGATAGATAGATAGATAGATAGATAGATAGATAGATAGATAGATAGATAAAAACAGACAGATAAAATTATTTGCATACTTGCAAAGTAGTTAATATACTCTAGATGCTTACATCAATTTTAATTTACACAAGTTACGTAAGGGGATCACTCTAAAAGTAATACCTTTTTAATACTATTGTTTACCCAAGACCCAAGAGCCACTCAAGAAAGAGGGTTAGTGAATGAGATTGTTGTAAAGGTGTAAATGGGGGAGGTCATATTAGGAGAATATGTAGTATGGAAAACGGTTGATCCTAGACTTGAGGAATTTAACATTGTAATGATTGGGAAAGCATCCTCTTGGAATTTCGGACTTATTGTCATATCACATTGAAACACCGGTTCTCGTGCAATCACCAAAGTTAAGCAACGTGGATCCTGGTTAGTACCTATATGGGTGACCGTTTGAGAATTCCAGGTGCTGTAAGCTTGGATGTGCGTGTGGTGCAAATCGGAGAGCCGTGTTCCGATTCCAGTCGGGTTCGTTGCATTCACCTCCGCGCAAATACTTTTGGGAAAGATATGAAGCTATCTCTTCTCACCTCCCAGCTAGTAGAACTTGTATCAATAAATAATTATTATCGCCAAAAAATTCTTACGTTCTAATTTTAAATAACCTTTGAAAGTAACTGTTCTGAGAAATAATATGTCTAAGTGGAACTTCGTCCTTAGCAAGCCAATAAGGTTGAGTCAACTCTGTGTACGTGTTTGGGAAAGTTTTAGCTGTGAAGGTCTGAACTTGTGGAACAGTAGTTCATCTGCACTTTTGCTATGGAAGTGTTTGGGAAAGTGTTTGTAGGATAGAAAATAATTCGCTACCTTATAAGGCCACGTAAATGATTTTGAACTGGAAAGTGAGTATTGGACAGTTCCAATCTAGATGTGGCTATGGTACACTATTTTTGGTTTGATCTGATTCTTGTAAAGATAGAGTATGGCAGCAGGAATCAGGTACTATCGAGTTCTGTACTTGGAATCGATCATTTTTCCATCAGAATCAGCGATGGTTCGTATACACGAGTTCTTTTTATTTATTTGTCTTCTTAGTATGTCAGTCTATACTGAAACTTCTCGTCAATAACTTATACTTTTTGTTTTTGTTTTGTTAACAGCTGAATGGTACTCTGGCATAAATGACACCTAATACCAAAGTCCATATGAAAGTATAAATCTGTCTTTGAATTCCGAATATGGAAAGCCATCAATTCACGCTGGACGTTTCTGAAAATTTAAATATATATATATATATATATTTTTCGATATATTTAAGAATAATGCATTTTCCTCGGTAGTTGTTATTTCTCTATTGAAATGCATCAGCTGTGAAAATTTAAAGTAAATTTAAACATAAAAAAAAACACTGTAAATAAATATTTTATAAGTGATCAAATATTTATTTCCTCAATCACTGAAGAGAAAAAAATGATAAAGCCAAATGTAAACAGACTAAAATCAATTCTGAAATAAATGCTCATCCAAATTGATATTTTTGTTAATGTCACATATTTATCGAAATGTTTGCCGATAAACAACACGTGGTTGGCTTGGAAACTAATTTCCATGGGACTTGGACAACAACAACATTAATTTGACGTTGTGATATGGGGCAAACTTTCAAAGTAACTGTTCAAGTGTTTAGTATATTTAATCTCAAGAGGAAAAATTCGAACTAAAAATAAGGATTTTCGTTTTTTCCTGACAGATTCTTTGTAAGGAAAACTTCTCAAAATTTGCAGTTGTCAGGTGTTACGGAATGCAATAATCACCAAAAATATGAAACAAGTCGATTTAAAACCTAATGAAGTTGGATTTTAAAGGACATAGTGTATTGATTGCGGGCCTATGAGTGGGTATCTTGACCATACTCACATTTTTGAGACTTATTCTAAATATGAGAATTGTCATTTTATGACCATAGCTGTTGCGATAACAGGTGAAATGTATTCATTTAATTAATAGAATAAAAGTTTCATATTTATTCCTCTTTTTATTTCTTTTCGTGTTTTTGATCGGTCTATTCTCCTGTCTCTGACTGTCTTTCTGGAATGAAAAGTTATCCTTACTGTTGTTCTCAGCTTATGTTACCAAATTCTCTCGTCCTATCCTCTCTCTCTCTCTCTCTCTCTCTATCTATCTATCTATATATATATATATATATATATATTTATCTATCTCTTTGTTTGTCTCCTTCAATTTTTTCACTCCCCGTTTACTTTTCTATTTGCATCTTTACCCAATCCAGGGATTGAACTCACGCTTATGTTACCAAATTCTCTCTTCCTATCCCCCCTCCCTCTATCCCCTCTCTCTCTCTCTCCCCTCTCTCTCTCCCCTCTCTCTCTCTCTCTCTCTTTGTTTCCTTCAAGTTTTTCCTTCTCTGTTTACTTTTCTATTTGCATCATATTTTTTCTTCTTTTCTTTATATAAATTACCGAAACAATGATCCTAACAATCTCCCCCTCTCTCTCTCTTTCTCTCTCTCTTTATCTCTTTTATTTATCTCCTTCCTCTTCTCCTTTCTCCTCTCCCTACTTGCTTCTCTATTTCTTCCCCCTTTTCAACGGCTGACTTCATTAGAATAAAGCGAGAACCCTTTGACTTTCGTAATGACGCAACACGAAATCTTTTTAAGGGAAACAAAGTCATAGGATGACAGAATTAGCAACTTCATGACAAAGAAGGTTAAAGATGACATTTGTAGTTCCTGAAAGGCGCCACTTAAAAAAAAATCCACTAAAAAGGCGGTGTTGTAGAAAGCTGAAGACAAAACTGTACGGATGAAGAACAAAAGAAAATGATTCATTTTCAGAATAATTGCAGATTTTACAAGTACACATCTTGTTGTTGAACTAAAATGTTTTTCTTTTCTGAAAATAAAAGGAAAGGGTCAACAATAGAAAGTAATATTTCGAATTGTTTTCTCTTTGATTTATACGTGAAAGGAAACTAAACAATGCTTATATATAATAGTCTAACTGCCATCTTTGTAAGGAAGCAGAAATTATTATTTAATTTGGCTGACAGTATTTGGAACAAAGATTTCAAGAATGAAACAAGGCAACAAAGTGAATGAAAAAAGATTGGTTCGTATAAAGAGGACACATTATTATGACTTTTTTAAGTTTATTTTTGTTTTTGTGTTCTTTAAAGAAATGAAATATTTGCTGGCTGATATGTTCGTATGTAAGGATTTAATAGACATGACTTTATTAATGAAATCACCTCACTCTACAAACCAATATTGTTCCCATAGGACAATAGTTTTTTACAAAGATTCGACCAACCTATAGGTCTTCCTATCAAACGACTTCTTTTAGAAATTCTTATAATAAAATTCATTTCAAAATATCTTACAGCAAAATGTTGAATAATTTTGCAATATAGATGAAGTCTTATTCAAATATATCCACACAACACTTTGGGCACCTCGACTTTTTGTAATGGTTAAAAAGCTTGTCTTGCTAGATCAATTACGACTGTGTAATGAGTTCGATCCATACTATCGGTCTTGTGCCACATCTAAGCTCTCCTTAGAAAATCACTATACTCACAAGACTAAATGACATAAATAAACAAAACAAAAATCGAATCTAATACTAAATTCATATTTTAAAAAGACAACGCTTGACTTTTTTCTTTGTTAATTCAAACCGATCTCGGTTTAAAAATGAAACAACTACCAGAAGTTAACAAATTAAATCGACCTCATCGTATGTTACATCACAACAATATGATATAATCTAGAGCAGGGGTCGGCAACCCGCGGATCCGGCTCCTGAAAGTATTTTGACCGCGACCCGCGAAAGGATTTTGACCGGCCCACGAGAACTGATGCCCAGTGAGTCAACTCCACCCATTAGACTTACGAGTCGAGGCAAGTCATAACCAAAGATTGAATATGAAATCTGTTGGACCCAACCAGTCCAGTTCGACACTAAAATTCACTTGAAAATTCGGTCAAAGTCCGGTTCGAAAAATCCAGGTGCATCTTCCATCCCTGACCAGTAGCTTGATTGAAAATGCATTCAGTCAGGCTATTTTGTGTTTCGGTTTGCGCAGGGATAACATGAAACCAAAGATAACAGAAGAAATGATTTTAGGTTCAATTCAAAATTATTTGATCATATGGTTGCTTTATAATGAATATTTGTTTTTATCTTTCTATTCTGAAAATATTATAAATAAGTTTTATAGTTATTGGCTCTCGAGTCAAGTTATGACTCGACTTTAACTCAACTTACATCATTTTTTATTTTAAAATTTGACTTGATTCGAACTGAGTCGAGTCTTGCGTATCACTGCCTTTAAGTGAACATAGAAAATTATGATTTTCCGGCCAGCTGAGGCGCACGAATTTTGGTATGAATATTTTTGTTCGACCTTGGTGTTTATTTAAAGTTTAAATTTATTGTAATATGAGAGACGAGGCTTTCGAATATAATAAAAGGCTTGCTTCCACAAATCTTCTTCTGAGTCACCCCACCACCCGACCTAATGTCCACCACCAACCGGATGTGAACGCTAGGACAGCAAAAACACAATTAAAAATTTATCGTGCACTTAGGACTCCGCACGTCATTTCCGTTCACACATTAAAAAATAATAACAATAATAATAATAATAATAATATATACAAGATATAAGCCAAGTTATCAGCCATAATCAATTGTTATTATAATTATATAATAATTATAATATTAATTTTCATTTAACGAAGCCACCGATTTTTTTTTTTTTTTTGCTTGGTCATTTTATGCAGCCATCGTTAGATATTTTTTCTTGTTTGTTTGTCCATCTTCAACTGCAATTCCACTGAAAGACAAACCAAAAAAAAAATAACAAGGAGTAAGAAAAATTCTTGCCATTCTTCAGCATGACATAATTCCAATCAAAGAGAATCGGTAAACATTCTTTGATTCTGGTTATCATTTTCTATCTTTGCATAAACTTATTTAAGTTCCCACAAATCTCTGAGAATTATAGGAATCATTTTACCTTCGAAAAAGCCCAATCTTCAAAGGGTGCCTCGCTTACAAAACACACTTTAGCAAATACCCTTCGATTTCATCAATGGGGAATAGATATTAGCGAGCTCTTCTTACAAGTTATTATATGTGAGTTCAATGTTCACTCATTGCTCAAAACCTGTGACCTTGTGCCATACGAGCTCACAATTATTTCCCAGCTGAGATCGATATGTTCCACTGATACCTTCGGTCAAAATTCACACTCAGATAAAATCCGCACCCAAGCAACTCTTGCTACTTGAAAGATTGGCGCATCACAATCTTTCTACCTATTTTGCTCAGTTTCTACTCTAGCGCTCCTTCTGTGATCCTTGTCTTGTCTATGATGTTTAATTTAATTTCAACAGAACTGGGGTTATGGGCTGGGAAATACCCGTAGGAAGTAAATCCCAGAGACACGAAGCACAGAATATGAATAGCATTTGAATTGTTCTGTAAAATTTCACATGACATGTATGTATATTTACTACTGGCCTTTGACAAGGTTGACAATGAGTGTAACATATATTTACTGCTACGATTGGTTGAGCAGATAGTTATGGGAGGACAGTTGCTAATACCACATTTATAAAGGCGGAATGAATTTATGACAAATGTTAAATTTATTTCTGAAGGCCATAATCATTATTACTAAGGACAAAGGACCGCTATTAAATTAATTATTTTATTCCGAAATACGAAGAAAAAATGTATGTCAACAACTAAAATAAACACCTACACCCGTAAAGTCTTGATGAGTTGTCGATAGAATAGGGTAAGTTTCGTGTATGACAAGCACTTAGAATAAGGTAACAACGGATTTCCATTGATGAGAATGAAGGGGAATTAAGATCAACGCAAAAAATAACCTGATATTGTCAACAGAACGGTTCATTCAACAGAGTAATTATTACAATATTTTTTTTGTATTCAAAATTCCAAAATCTAACAATCGAATTTGTTTCATTGCAGGCTTTTGTTATTGTTAATAATGATTACGTTCTTGACAACTAAATTTAGCTTTGACATTTGAATGTGATTTATTCCCATTTGAAAAAAAAAATGACTTAATTTTCTAAATAAACTCTCGCTTTTTCTCTCTTTATAGATATCTATCTATCTATCTATCTATCTATCTATCTATCTATCTATCTATCTATCAATATCTATCTCGATCTCTTCATATCTATCTATCTGATTCTTTTCTTATCTATCTATCTATCTCTGTTTATCTTCCGGTCTCTCTTTTTATCCATCTGATCATTTCAGTCTATTAACATTTATCAATGTATTTCACTCTGTTCACATCTATCTCTATCTTAGTCAGTTCATCTCTCTCTCTCTCTCTCTCTCTCTCTCTCTCTCTCTCTCTCTCTGTGTGTGTGTGTGTGTACATTTCAGTGTGTTAACATCTATCACTCTGTTTATATCTATTTATCTCAGTCTGTTAACATTTATCAATATATATATATATATATATATATATATATATATATATATATATATATATATATTTCTAAGGTATGCTATACTTTTATGGGTTACAGTCTATTTTATGCTAAACGCAATCATCAGGCATGTTGTCTCTTGGTGTTGACTTCAATGTCCACTTTTATATCTATCTATCTATCTATCTATCTCAGTCTATTCTTATCTATCAATTTATCTTTTTCAATATCTATCTATCTATCTATCTATCCCAGTCTGTTCATATCTATCTATCTATCATGGTCTATTTCTCATCTATTTATCTATGTATCTCAATAGGTCCACATCTATCTCTATATCTAGCTGAGTCTGTTTCTATCTATCTATCTATCTATCTATCTATCTATCTATCTATCTATCTATCTATTAGAGGGGAACATTCTTATTGTTCAAAATTTTTGAAATAAAGAGAAGACCAATTCGGCATTCTCTAAATTGCTTTCATCCGAACAAAGAATAAAGGAGTTAGCTTCACATTGGGCTCTTATCCTTAATAATGATCAGGACGATGATGATAATGATGTTGATGATGATCTTGAAAAATAAATTTAATTATTTACATGTTAATTGAATTTTATTCCATCTCCAAAAGTACGACATTACTCTCCGAACGACATGTATGCTTATATGCGTGTAAGAGTTTGTATGTGGGTACTTGTATGTGTTTATATATGTGCATATATATGCTTATATGTGAGTATGTGCACACACACACACACACACACACACACACACACACACACATATATATATATATATATATATATATATATATATATATATATATATGAAGAAAGAAAGGAAGAAAGAAAGAAAGAAAGAAAGAGAGATTTATATATAATTTTAAATAAAAGTTTAGTTTGGGATTTTTAAGGGAAATGAAAATACAACATTCCTTTTTAGGTTTTTTTTTACTCGCAATTTGTGTTTCATGGCGTATTTTCCGGACAATTAACTTTCGATTGTTTTTGCAATGCAAGAAGAAAATTTGAAGTCCGTAGCACTAGATAAATCGAAAATCTCTTTTATCTTCCAAAGGAGTTTTGATTGCAAAATTGAACCAACGATCACGAAAAATATGTCGATACATTCATCTTCAATTTGACAACTTTTACGTCAATGCTCGTCATTGTTTTATTTGGTTCAATCGTCATTTCAATCGAAAGCCGAAGAGAGAAAATGGCGGTTTGATTTATTAGAAGTTAAGTCCAACGCCTTAAACATTCGGCCATTGAGCTGCAAGAATATGGTGGAAAATGATTTGCGAAATTATTCTGAATTCTGAACGTTCTTTTGCCTATATTTATATGGAAGCATCAAATGCCAAATAAGACGAATTATTGGAATCCGAGGAAAAACTTCGCCCATATCTCATTATTTACTTTCATTTCTCTATTATCACAAGATAGATAGATAGATAGATAGATAGATAGATAGATAGATAGATAGATAGATGCATAAAAATAACTGATAGAGACACATAAACAGCTTTTATTCTGTCATTAAAACAATACAAGAATATTATTTTGGTTGATTTATTAAAGCAAGTTCCCATAATCAAACATGTATGACGAAATAACGATGCAGACAGATCGACGGTTATGTCGAATGATTAAGAAAGTTTTCGTGAATGATTCAATGAGTGAAGCCTGGATATGATTTTGCTGAAGATTATTAAGAACAGAAGTCCGTTAAAAGCAATCCAAGTTCTGAGAGGTCTTCACATGCAAATGTCGAACGTGTGAAATGAAAGGAAATCTGTCATTGACCGTGAGAACTTTCTACAGACTATTGTTTTGGAGATTTTAACGAGGGTGTTTTACATGAATTTTTGGCAGCAAAATTTGTTCTGTGATTCCTGACACAAAAGTTGAAGGAATATTGTGCGGAAGTCGCACGGGACTTGCGCCAAACAGTTAACAGTGACAATGATATACCCAGAAACGTCATGATAGGAAGCAGGTTATGAGTCTATGGTTGCGACAAAAACCCAGTTTTCAAAAGCAGAATTCAACTGAGTCTATACGTCTAAAAACATAAAATGAGGGCAATGTTAGCGTTTCTTATTATTTTATTATTATTATTATTAATAATAATAATAATAATAATGCATTTGTTGTCTGTTACTCTTTCGAGAATGACAATGACAATCGAATTTCTTCCTGGTTTGTATGATTCAGTAAAAAAGAAACAGGTTACAGCTGTGGGAAATGCTCACTAACATTTTTATCACAAGAATGTACCTAGTTATTCCTGTGCAGGTTTTTTTTTGGGGGGGTGTATTGGTTTTATTTTTTTGTTTTCTTTATGTTTTGGGGGTTTTTGTTTGACAAATATTTCACCACCCAGGTCTGTTGCAGAAAGAAAAAAAGATGAAAAGAAGAAGAGAGAGATTCAGAGCTAGCTCCATGAAATATCTGGCTTTTCAGAAAGCGAAAATTACTGCTGAATGAGTTGAGACTTTAAACCAAAGACGAGATTAAGGAGAACGCAACAACGAAACTGATGGCAATCTCGAAAAAGGATTTGGAGACTATCTGAATAAATGATAATGTTTGAAATACTAAGGAAAATATTTTAAAGAGAACTAAGGCGCCTTTGCCCGAGTTAAGTCATTTTTTAATTAATATTAAATGACAGGACACTTTTCAGACAAACCTCCTGTGGGTGTGCGTGCTTTCTGAGCGCGTTACTGCGTGTGCACGCCTGTGTGTATGTGTGTGTGCAATTAATTGGATATTTCCTCTTACCTATGATGTATACAGTCAAAGATTTAATTGAAAATGAACGGGTTTACCATACGCACACACGAAAACATACTTTTTTTTATTTTCTTCTTGGCTCTGCGAGTCTCTTCATCTATGTCTAGAGAGAGACCTGTTCATCCCCCCTCTTTTTCAATTATTTTCTCCCTTTCACTAGTTTTCACCTTCCCCTTTTTTTTCAATTGTCGCACTCTCTCTCTCTCTCTCTCTCTCTCTCTCTCTCTCCCCGTCTCATAATATTTTTCTACCGTCTTTCTTCTTTCACCTCTCCTTCGTCCCCTTATTTCTCGTTTTCACTCTTTCTCTTCTTCCCTTCCTTTTCCACTCGCCTCCGCCATCAATTTCCCTCTTCCTCTTCCTTCGCCTTCTCAGACTTCCATACACAATTCTCTCTGTTTCTGCATTTAAACATAGAATGGCGTATCTATCTATCTATCTATCTATCTATCTATCTATCTATCTATTTCAGTCTGTTTCTCATCTATCTATTTATCTATCTATCTATCTATTAGAGGGGAACATTCTTATTGTTCAAAATTTTTAAAATAAAGAGAAGACCAATTCGGCATTCTCTAAATTGCTTTCATCCGAACAAAGAATAAAGGAGTTAGCTTCACATTGGGCTCTTATCCTTAATAATGATCAGGACGATGATGATAATGATGTTGATGATGATCTTGAAAAATAAATTTAATTATTTACATGTTAATTAAATTTTATTCCATCTCCAAAAGTACGACATTACTTTCCGAACGACATGTGTGCTTATATGTTCTCTCTCTCTCCCTCTTTCTCTCTGTCCCTCTTTCTCTCTCTCTCTCTCTCTCTGTTACGCACTTTCTTCATCATGTTTCTACCTCTGACTCTCTCCACCAGCTTCTCCCCCTCTTTTTCCCTCTCTCTCTCTCTCTCTCTCTCTCTCTCTCTCTCTCTCTCTATCACACACTTTTCTTCATCATCATTCTCCATCTGACTCTATCGACCAGCCTCTCCCCCCCGTATCTCTCTCTCTCTCTCTCTCTCTCTGTAACCCACAGACTCTTCCTCCCTTTACTCTCTTCTATGTATATGCGTGGGCGTATAATTGTTTCTCCGACCAGTAAATAATTGGTACTACCATCTGGCTTCACTACTAATTACAGATCCACATTTTTATTATTAATAACAACAGGAAGTGAACTATGACCTTCGCTTTCGATTTGGTCATTTAAATTAGGGGGCCTTTATTCTATCAATATATCAGCCAACTGTAGAAACATAACCTACAGCTCATATTTTTGACGCCACACTGACCTGAAACCCTAACGCTAAAGCCTGGTGTAACTCCACGTCTCGCCATTTAATATTTACATTTACATGCACAGTAGACCCGGGACTTTTATCTTTTGCTCTGAGCAAATATAAATTAGGCTCAAATTCCAGTTAATAAAATTCGGATTTGCTTCACTAAACCACCACCTCTTCTACAGCCCATGGCATAACACAAAGAGCAGAGACCTTAACGTAACCATAACGACATCTATAGGTATCCATTTCATCAATGACATTCATCTCTTAATAGTTAATAAAGATAAAGCAAAATTATCAATGGCGGCAGGGATTAGACTATGTAACATTTGGGTCTTTGTGCTTTATAATAACACAGACACAAGAGTTTGTTTTCCAAAATGATAATTACCTATTGTTTTCCATCTCTGCATCAAGATCTGTACATTGCAGCATCTTCGTTTCATAAGCCTATTGTATAGAGTCTTTCCAAGGCACTGTTAACTCCACCGAATATATCTTACGCAGGACCCTGGACCACAGAAGAAGATCCGACCTCAAGTGGGTAATAACTGTCTTTGCTGAGAGCATTTAGCTCTTCTTCCCCATTCACTATCATCTGGAAATCCCGAACTGGTTCCAGGAGACAGTACCCGGTGCCTAATGAAATATCACAGGATTTTTGCCCTTCCGATACAAAGGCAATGAACTTCTGCAGTAAGACATGGATAGAAGATCTCCTAATTTCGGCAGAATCGTAGCCAGTGGCTTTAGAATTTTACTGAAAGTTTTGCAGTTTAGGGAGACCATCATACGTTGATTTGATGAGGAAGTTTATTCAGCCTGTCTCCATTTCCTAAAGATCACCCCAATTCATTCCTCATTTTTCTACCCGTCTCATCTCATTCACTGGACCCTGTTTGGCACGGTCCACGTACCCTTCATTAATCCCTCTTGGCTGAGTGATTTTACTATGTTGGGTAATTTAATCAATGCAGTTTATAAAATAATAGCTTCTAGGATTGATTGTTCGTTTTACAACATTTTACTTTCATGTATTAAATTTCTGTTGTTTTTAGGTTTGTTTTTGCTTAAGAAAGCAAAATAAACAAAAATTAACAGCGTAGATTTCTCTTAATATCAGTTACTGATAAAGAATTAATAACTTTATAGAATATTACGATTCAATATTCAAAATATGCCTTACAGATTATGTCAATGAATTCAAGTTCGTAACTGCTTCCCTCTCTCTTCTCCTCTCCCTTTTTGCTCACCATCTATCTTCTCCTCCTCTGTCTTTTCTCTCTCTCTCTCTCTCTCTCTCTTCTTCTTCTTCTTCTTCTTCTTACCTCTTTTTGTTCTCCTTCTAGCTTCTT